TGAGCTGTCTTATAATTCTGCTTTCCGACAGAATGACATGATCAGTTTTTGAAAATGTAAACATATCAGTTTAGCTGTATCTCAGCCTTGGTTTGTGCAGGGGTTTCTTAGTCTGTACCCTGTAGGGACTGCAGAGAACTTTGATGACATGAATATAATCATCTACACATGAAAAAAAATTTTATTGATTTTGAGGAAGACGAAAAGGAAAAAACAAAACCACAAAACCCAACAAAGACGTGCTTTTATCTTCTCCAGGAACAATTTGTTGTTGCACTTATTATGCTTCCCTTCCAAAGCACCAGTCTCTCCTGTGGCGATCTGGTAATGAACAATTTAGCCATTTTTATATTAAAGTTTGTCTGATAAAAGTTAATTCCTATTTTTTTAGGAATAACTGCTGAAATTTGAGAAAGGTTTGCTTCTGATCAGTTCTCAACAAGTCCTGATTAAAGCATCCAAAGAGGTTCTGGCTTTCTGTAGTCTGCAAATCAGACTGCTTTGTGCATTTAAATATCTTCCCTAACGTCTGTGGGGACTTATGTCCAAATACAAAAGAGAAAATGATCATCGTGTTTCTGTGGATATAAAACTGAGAAGCATTTTGTAATGACCGTCCAGCCTCTCCAGCTTAGTTATCTTGATCTATCTTACAGCTTGACTTGCAACCTCTTACTTCCAAAATGCAGTTACCTTGTGAAAATAGGATTTAGATTAATTTGTCGAGCTGCAAAACAGACAGGGCAAAAGGACAACTCAGTGCTTTCCTGCAGCCTGTGATAGAAACTAGAGGACAGGGGAAAATAACAAGTGACTTGGTAAGATTTAGCTGCACTCTCAGGAATAAACCCTATAATAGTTTCTCAGAAAATTAATGGTTATGTTTTATTGTAGGGTGTTGTAGGTCTGCTGTTGGAACAGATGCTGCGTGACATTCAAAAACGTATAGAAACACAATTATCTGAGCAGGAAAAGTGAGCGTTACAAAGATGGATGGCACACGTAGGAGGATTATCTCAACCCACTACAGGAGCATCTATCTATCTGCAAAACAGCAGAATTTTAGCTGTAACAATTCTTTATTGTTTCTCTCTTGCCTCTCATTTTTATTGTGAGAGGACAGAAAAAGCTTTTTAACAAGACAAGTGTAAGTTTCTAGTTTTAAAAGGATTCTTTTTTAAACAATTAGTGCTGAAGGGAAAACAATCTAGTAAGGAACAGTATGGTTTTCCCCTTTACTCCCTTCCCCCATGGCTTTTCCTTTAAATATGATGGAACCCTAATCTGTGCTCTTTAGAGTAGAGGTAATGAAATTACAGAAAGGATGTGAAAAGTATCTGTGAAGGTAAGCTAATACTTTCCATTGTGTAAACCATAGATATACTGCCTGAAGACACATAATATGAGAAAGTTAAAGGAAAGAAATCAATATGAGGAAAGATTTTATTTTTTTAAAGATCCATTTGGCAAAGAGTTACTTAAGAAGTATGCTTCGGTCCATTTAATTCATTCTTAATTCATCTGTATTTTCAAGATCTCTGATATGTCAAATATATAATTCATCTTATGCAACTGCTATATATGTACTCAGTCACAAAGATCATGCCTAGCGTTTCTAATGCAGAAGGTCCTGGGTTTGATATTCACTGCTGATAGGGATATTTGTGCCTGTGTACTCCCTGCTTGTTACCCAATGCTGCCTCTAAGATGTCAGTTTACAGCTTACCATGACACTTAGTTCTGATGAGGTTTGTTCCAAAGAAAGCAATACAGTATTTTAGAAATAAAAAAGAACATTTTTCTAACATATTTTCTCATCCGCTCTGCTATTTAGCATTCTCTAATATTAAACATTTAACAGGTACACCGATTTTTTTAATGTGCTTTTTAGGAAGAAAGTGGGCCTTTTTCATTTATTTCAGCCCAACTGAATCTTACTTTGGCTTATTAGTAAATTGACAATTTGAAACAATAGAATCGGTTGTTTTCCATGGAGTGTCTATATATATATGCTCATACCACAAACAGGCATATTTCCAAGCACTCAGGTCAGATACTTCAGCTTTAGCAGTACCCACAGATGCACATCTGCTATACCTCCTCTACACATCATGCATGTGATGTGAGTGATCACTACGTATCCTTTTACAACGACTTTCTCCAAGCCATCTGGCTAATTCTGAGGTGTTGTTTTTCATTCTGAGACTCTTGACAGATGTGACGCTGCTGCTTTTTTGAACCTGTTGCCCTTTTATTTTCAGGAGTCTCTCTTTTCTATTCTATTTAATTTATTTTTTATTTTTGTTCGGCCTGCTTTTGTCTTCATCTGAACAGCGAGCTCAGCCTTACCTGTTCAACTCAGAGCACAGTGAGCTCATTAATCTCCTACCCTTTAACATCTGTAGGCGTGCTTCCTATTGTGGAATTACTTCAATTACAGGAGAATTTGAATTTAGTATTGACTACCTTAATGGGCTGTTATTTGAGCCTATGGCTCTGTGGTCCCTACTTCAACTGTCCATTAAAACAGCCTTATTCGTGGCCATTATATCAACCAGAAAGGCTGGAGACATCCTGGCACTTAGTGGTGCTAAAATCTCTGGTCGAGGTTACTTTTTGAATTCTTCATCTTGATTGTCTCGGGGAATTACGCTTCTAGTGTCTCAGATCTCACCCATCCTCAGGAGATTGAAACACACACTTACATGGTTTGTCCTTAGATGAATACTTGCCTTTTGGCAGACTCCAGCTAATTTCTACCACGGAAGTAGTCGTGGAGCACAAACTGCAAGACCCAAAGACATCTCGTTAGATAGCTGATGTATCATGAGTGCTTTGTTATTAAACAGACACCTCCTGATAGAATCAGGTATGCTCTCTGAGGATGTGAACGGCCAGTATAGCTCCTGTGAAAAAGTATCTCAAAGTTCCAGCTGGGATGGCCACTAAAATCTGTTCTTAAATTTGCCAGGTGACATGACTTGCCAAATGTATGTGGGTGTGGTATAGCCTTGATCAGTCCACGCCTTGTACCCAGTACCACTTCTCTGTACCTGCATCCCAGAACTAGACACTGCGAAGGGTCACCCCGTAGTGTGAATCTACACATTCGCCTATCACCAGAAGAAAAAAGGAAGGCTACTTTCCAGGAACTGGATGTTCTTTGGATGTCCCTGGCACAGTCTTACCTTGTGTTCCTCTTAGAGAAATTAAGCTTTTGATGTTATGCTTGTCTTTTAACAAGAATCCTTAAAACTAATTCATTATTTAAAGGTCATAACAAAATGTTAAATGTTATCTCTGTGTGGGTGACAAATTTCATTATGATTCCAAGTTCCCCCGTAACTTCAGTTGAACACCTTAATCTTCAGCTCGTGTTGTAAGCTGCTGCACACCACTTAACAGCTGTTGAGTTTCACTTCAGAGGTGGCTGCATATTAGTGGTACGTAGCCTAATTCTTGTAAGGTACTTTATGTTCCTTTAAGATGAAGGATACTACATACATGTAAAACATCAGTGTGTTCACATAACTCTGCTTTGTACATGCTGCTTGTATTTTTTTGTCTCCACAGGTATGCAGAAAATGTGTTCTATAGATGCTTATGTTCGGTGTGAAATATCAAGAAAAAATTAAAGTAAAGTGAAAAATAACATTTTTCTGGTCATTTACCTCTCAAATATAGCTGGTTTATGAAATTTCATTTAAAATAATTGGATGCTTTATGAATACCTGTTAGCTAATTAAGCTTACAGGAAAAACAAAATTAAACAGATATATGTTTGGTGTCTGAGCTTTCACAATACTGCTTCTTTTAAAGCCAGATGTAATGCTGCATGCATATTAAAAATAATGAACATGATATGCCACCACCAAAGCTGTTTACATTTCTAGGAGATCAATATGTTAATTGGTGTCTTGGCTTCAGATAAGATCTGTAGAACAGCTTTGATGAGATGCTGCTCGCGGTCCAAATGATGTTTATGTGTTTTGTTTGTACTCAATTGAATGGATTTTCATGGTTTTATAGACATAGCTACAAATTCATCTTGGGTTTTTATATAGCTGTGAGAAAGATGTTGTTTGGTTTCTATAAAAACATTGGTTTTGGACTTCAGAGTGCTAAAGCAGCTTTTCTTACGCATGCTTGTGTGCTTATGGTTTTAGAATATCGTCTTATTTGGAGTAGCCTTGATACCAGCTGAGTTTGTTGGGTGCTAGAAGTGGATCTTAGGATCATCTCCTGTGGAGATGAAATTTCATTTAAAACTCTGGAATTTGTAGTGAGTTCAGCCAGAGGCTGGACATTAACGTGTATCAGAGTGAAAATGAAAGATTTTTCTACAAGATTCTAGTGGGACGTGACTGCGTCCTTAATGAACAGACATGGTTTGGTTGATGGTTGATTGATGGTTCCACATCAGTCAGGTGTAGAATGCACATGTTTACTTTTTAAGATAGTTTCATAAATAATATTTGTTCCTACAGCCTTCAGTCAGGTGCCACCAGAAGGCATAAAGACCCTGTTTGTTTCATTAGCTTTCCACGTTGATCTCCCTGTTTCCTTCCCCTCCTGTCAAGCCCTGTTCCTACGTGCTAGCTTCTTAATGTGGGAGCTGTAACCCTCCTGACCGTGTCAGTCTCACACCCTGTCAGGAACCTCTTACACGCAAATGATCTTCACACTCTTAGTACCTTTACCCTGACATTTTTAAAGCACGCGTTCCACACAGGAGAAACGAGATGAGGACCAGTTTAGAGAGAATGAATAACAAGGGATCTGAGGAAATCTGGGTGAGAAGTGGTACTATGCAGCAGCGTGTTCTGCTGAGGCTTTCTGCTGAAGCATGCAGATGTAAATTTTTAGATGCATTTTGGAAGAAAAAAGTTGCCTTCAAAGAGCCAACCGTGGAATTAAATACTCATAATTATAAACAGGGAGTCTGCAGGTTTTTTGATCTTCCAAATACTAAAATATGTATAACTATCTGTTTTTCACAGGAGAATCCCTTCAAGGAAAGGATCGTGGAATCTTTCTCAGAGGATGGAGAGGGGAGCCTCAGCTTCAATGATTTTGTGGATATGTTCTCTGTGCTCAGTGAAATGGCTCCCAGAGAGCTTAAAGCAATCTATGCCTTTAAGATCTATGGTACTGTATCGGGATGCTTTTGTACGCCCTTTTTTGTTGAAGTAAATGAGTTTGAGAGTTGGTGGTGATCTTTTCTTTGGTTCTTTTACTGTTTAGATTTTAACACAGATAACTTCATTTGTAAATCAGACTTGGAAAAAACCCTCAATAAGCTGACCCGAGAAGAGCTAACAGCAGAAGAAATCACTCTAGTTTGCGAGAAAGTGATAGAAGAAGCTGACATGGATGGTGATGGGAAGCTAGGATTTGCAGATTTTGAAAACATGATTTCCAAAGCACCAGACTTTCTCAGGTATTGTTTTAAGGGAAAAAAAAAAGATGGTATCTTGCATATTTTCAGGTATTTTTTAAGGATATCACTGTGTAGTGTAATACAAAAAATGTCAGACGTAAGTACTTTACCAGCAAGCTGACTAGAGGATGACTTACTACCCTAACTCAGTTTACTTTTCTAGAGCAGTTCTCTCCCAACTTGAAGAATAAGAGCTCAATGACTTTTAATTACCTCTTTTGGGTTTTCTTTTTTCCTGTTTGTTTGTGTAGTTTCTTCGGGAAAAATATTTTGATCTATGATAAGCTCAAATTCATATTGTTCTCAAGCCTATAGCAAGGATCTATGCTGTCTCAATAGGGATGTGTGTAAATATTGTGTACGTGTTACAAATTTACTGTACAATTTCTTTTTTTTTGCTGCAGTTTAAGTGCAAAGACCAATTAATCTATGTAGGTTTTCTGATGTCTGGAAAGGTGTGAAATTATTTTGCATCCTTCTATGAAGTGGAACACTTTGAGACTTTTTTACACAGCTGCCTGTTTGCAGGAAATTGGCAGAAACTTAATCACCTTTCAGTCACGTGTTGTTGAACTCTGCCAAAGGATTCAGAAGTTACTGGGGAGGATTAACAAAGCTCACAGTCAGACTGATTGAATAAACTGTTTTTTCATAGGAAATGAGGCTAAACATTAGGATAGAATTAAAATAGATAAAAATTTAGATTGATAATGCTAATGGTGTTTAAGAACTTTTAAGTGTCCTGCAGAACACAGACAGTTTTTCTTTCATAAATGAAATTTCTAAGGAAAGACATTATTACAAAATGATTCTACAATAAAGCATGAGGACATGATCCCTATGAACCCTGAGAAAAATCAGCATCTTGAGAGGGTGTGCTACAAAGTCAATGTGAATGTCTTTTATACATTAGAAACGTATCAGGCATTCTTTGACTAATCAAGTGTACCAGCAGAAACTCTTTTACAAGTTATGTATCATCATTATGGGGAGGCTCAGCTGAATAGGTGTTCTAATATTTTGTTTACATGTATTTCCAGCTAAGAAAATGTTTTCTGCATACTGTTATTCATATAGAAGCTGCCTGGGTCAGCTAGAGTTTCCTTTAATCAATGAAAAGACTGTACTGTACCTACAAACCTGGTAGAGAGCAGAGATCAAATGTGAAGAATTGAAGGCAGATCTGAAGACTCAGCAGAAGCTGTAGTTTCAGGAGTTTCCTGTGCCATGACTGACTTTACTGCTGTGTTGTAGAGGCTTGCAAACTGCTGACGCAGAATTCCGAGCTGAGGATGCTGTGCAATCCAGTCATTTCCTGAGAAAGTAGCACAGAGGAATATTTGTCACTGTAGCTATTGGAATGACTGTCATAATTATTTTTCTTTTTCAATTTTGTGATGGTTTGGGAAGCTGAGGAAATGAGTGGAAAGACTTGAGTGCTGGGTACTCAACCAGACAAGAAGATGAGTAAAAAGAGGGATGAAGTGAAAAGTACAGACCTTGTTACAGATTAGGTAAAGAGAAAACAGAGGAGGGATCACTGACAATACTGATGATCTCAAAGGACCAGGCTACCAAGTATTGGAAGACTGATCATCCAGTTGCTTAGTTTAAACACATAGACTTTGATCTGTGTCTGCGACATGGTGAACTTGTGTTATCAAGGTGTCTCCCTGATGTTCAAGGCAGCGATGTGTATATTTAAGGCAGAGTTTTTCCATGCCTGCCTTCAAGGGAAATGGTAACTTCCCCTCCTTTCTGGTCAAGGAGATTAGCTGGGTCAGAGGCTTCAGCTCTGAAGTCCTCAGGCTTAAGAACTCTTGCTGTGACATGACCTAAAGAAGGGTTTCCTTCCACCTTCTAGGTGAAACAATGGTTTAGAACCTCCCACTATTAATGCAGCAACATGGTTTTTTTAACCTTTGAACTTATATTGCAAAATGAGGGTGTAAATGGAAAAAGTCTTAGAGCCGAGAAGAGAATCAGTTTCTCCGATTTGGGTTTTGTTTCAGCCAGAGTTAACAGCTGCAGGAAAAGAAAGTGACAGGGTCATCAGACAGCTTTTATCCAAACCAGTCTGTATAGAAGACTTGATACCTCTCCCTTACTGCAGTTTACTGTTCCTTTTGCCTGTAAAAGGTATTTTATGTTTTGAGGACATTCTTAGTCGTATTTTTTCTGTATGCAGTGCATCATAGACTGACATATTTGTTAACACTGAACTTCCTGATCTGAGACACTTACTGTCATTTTTAAAATACTGTGTGAATGTTACATTCTAAAGGGAGACAGTGATTTGACTTTTGGAATGGGATCCATTGAATTTTAATGCCACAGTAGGTAGACCAAAGTCTGACTGGGGACTGAAACTAAACCAGTGCTCTCTGACAGTACCCCATGCATGCACACAAAACGTGTGACATGGGACAAAAGTGCAATTCCTGTAGCTGATCTCTCACCACATAAATCCCAGTTCCTATTCACTGAGTTCAATTATACCATAGCTGTCTTGGATACGTTGCCTATTCATTCAGTGAACACAATGCTTTCTTTTATCTTTCTGAATTTATCTCCAGCTCGATTTGTGGCCTCTCTTCTGTGTCTCAGCTGTAACGGTCATTTTAAGTGATAACCATAGACTGTGTGCAGCCAAACTGAAGACGGGGCTGTGCAGTTTCACCATGTAATATAATACAGAACATGCAAAGCATGGGAAGTGTCTTAATAGTGGATCAACAGCCCTATATGGCAGTGGTAAATCTATGCCTGAACTATCTTCTTAATATTGTAAAAAGATATGAAAACATGTTTTCATCTAAATAAAATTGTCCCTTTTGAAATCTTCAGCAGACGTATGGAAGAAATACCGACCCATCAATGTCCAGGGACAGTCATAATTTCATTTGGTCTTGCATATCTCCATTTTTTGTGCCCAAATGAATGCATTCCAAACTTTAAATTCAAGGAAGCCTAAGTGCCAATTGATCTGTACTTTCAACTGCTCAGCAGCTGTGAAAATTAAACACCTAGGAACCAAAGCAATAACCACTTTTGAAAATGATTGCCAGTGAGCAATTGGAGATGCTGGATAACCGTAGTTTTCAGAGACTTTGCTGTGAAGCTATGGGCAGTCGACGTTTCTGAATATCTGATCCTAGAAAACTATGCTGGCACCTGGTATATGGTCTTTTTGATAATGTTAACTAACTTACTGGACTTCAGATGATGTTTCTTTGTAGTAAAGGATTTCTTAGTCTCTTCTTTGCCTTTTCCCCCCATCAAAAGCCACTTCTTCACATCATAGGAGTTGGAAATTTAGGATGCAAGGCAGTTAGGTTTTATCCCTGGCTCTGCCATTGCTTGAGCAGGTGGTCTCCGCTAAACCATAGATGATTTTGTTCTTTCTGCTTTGTTACATGGGACTAGTGCTTACCTGACTTCTGACAAACATTGAGAACTCTTATAATGTGAACTATCCAACTGTAAAATCTCATCATCGTTAAAATGAGGTATCAAATAACTGAGGAGGCGTACCTTCTTTACCCTGTTTGTGGAAAACCTTGGAAGGCCAGATTCCTATAACAGTCTATGCTCTGGTTTTGAGGCACTTTTTTCACTCAGCTCAATATATTGGGGGTTTTTTTTAAGCTGTCATACTCTCATGCATACTTCATATGTACAGCAGGCATTCATTTTGGCACCATGATCCAGGCTTTGACCTGGTATGAGCTAAAGTTTATCCACTGTACATTGACTGATTTTCCTTATCTCATCACTCATTTGTCAAACCTTTACTTAATGACCTTGTGTTGGTTTAATCTTCTACAGACAGCCTTTGTAAGCTTTGTACTGCTGTCAAGCAAATGAAGATGCAGTAAAGTCTGTTGCTTGATTTGCACTGCTGTGGTTGAGGAGTTTTTTTAAGACTAGAAGAAAACATGACCAGTCATTGACCAGGGAAGAAGATAGATGCGTTTTTGGCTGTTATCCTGGCAGCTTGAGTGAGCTGTAAATGATAATAATAGTTGCTAGTTCAGAAAATTTGTTCCCAGTAGGTTTCTTTCACTCAAAATTGCTATCATTAAGTTGCTGCTTGTAGTTTAATGGAAGTGTTAGCACTCTGAAGTGGCGCTAGCTAAGTGTTCTGTTCTACAAGACTGGTTACGTTTTCCACAGGAAATTGTTTTATCAATCATCCTGGAAGTTTAAGCTTATTTGAATGCCTGGGGGTGAAACGCACTATAACAATTTGAAATGGAGTTTGAGAAGAATATGGCATTAGTAACACCTGGGAACTGTCAGAACTAGACAGATAAACAACAGATTAAACAAAAAGATGTCATTGGAAATGCAGTAGTTCTGAAACCTTTGTGGGCCTTAGTCCGTATAGCAGCGCGTGTCCTGACTCCAGTCCTACCTAAAGCTGAAGTAACAGAAGCTCCTTGTAGGAAACATGCATCTCATAAGACCTGTCCCAACATGCAGATTATCTAGTTCTCAAGGACTAAAATTAGAGCTAGTGACACATTGGCAAGAGATGCTTAGCAATAGAACAGTGGAAGGGAATCATTTTTGTCAGTATTTTTCACAGAATATTTGAGCTGCTTCTTAGTAAAAAGCTTAATCTCCAAAGGGCAAAATGACACTCTGATATAAATAAAAAAAAATTCCAATACATAGATTTCCACTGAGGTGGATTTGAATGGATTTTTTTTTAAGGAGTCTTGCCTAAAATGTTTTCACAGACAACGCTGTGGATTTTTTAGTTCCTAGAGATTGCCTATGTGGGATTTAAATTTTCAGGAGTTTGGATTAATATGGGGCTCTAGACATTTCTTGAGTTGTGAACAAGATGTTTATAATTATTTTTCTCTAAAAACTTAGTGCTAGTAAGCTCTTTGCATCACTGTACGCTTGCTTTCACAATACTTAGACTGGTATGCCAGACTGCTATACATCATAGCTTTCAGTGTCACCCAGATTGAATAAATTCCTAGACACAAAGTTCCTAGGGACCACTGTGAACATAAAACTTTATCTCCTCCAAATACATACCACAGAGCTTCCATCAGTGAATTCCTGATTCAAAGCAAATAGCTGTGATTAAGTTGGAGCATTCTCTTCGTAAAACAAAATCGAAAAACTGTGCATCCAGAACTCTCCAGCCTCTCAAATACTCCAAACTTTTAAAGATTTTTTTCAGTATAGGCATCAAAATGATAGTATTTACATACAAAAATACATAAAAATATCTTCTGTTTTCAGCAAGCAAGAAAGAAACTTATATTTTATACTGTTGTGACATTGAACAGAGATTATGACCAAGAGAAAGTGAGCTTTCAGCATGCATAGTGTAAATAGAGAGAAAATAATCAGGATCTCTTGGTCCTAGCAAGAGAAACAAAAAATTTATCTGCCTAATTTGACTTGTTTAAGAACCCAAATGCTGTGCCATAGCAAAAGTGCAATTGAGAAACATTTAGCTCTGCTGTATATCTGATAAATAGGTCAACTTATACTTGATTTAGTCCACTGTGGAGCTTGGCCCCCTGAGCTAACATTTTCAGAAGACGGAAATTTCTCCCAGGACGTTTAAGTCTTCCCGAAAGCATGGGAGAAGAGATTCAGATTCATTACACAGCACCTTCCTTTTTGTATTTTCAGGAAAATGTAGTGCGTAATGACAGATGGGTTTATATCTCTTAATCTTTTTCTTTCCTTTGCAGTACTTTCCACATAAGAATCTGAAGATGTTTCTGTGAGCCAGTGTTATCAGAAATGACTTGCCAGTCCAGCCTTTCTGAATCTCAGGCACTTTGGGGGCTTTTGTCCTCTAATTATGGCTTCTTAGAACTCAACAGAAAGTACTGAAATAATTCTCGTCCACAAAGAGACAGAAGCATCATGTGATCTACAGGATGTTTGGAACAGTCACATTTTTATCTTCACTGCTGGCCAAGCATTCTGGCAAAGATGGTTGGTTGTTGGGTTGTGTGTTTGGGTGGTTTTTTTCCTTTTTTTCTCTCTTTTTTTAAACAGGCAGAATCAGAATATTATTAAAGGTATTTCCATATAGTTTTTATATTTATTAATATTTAATACTGCTCTTAAAAGTGCAAAAAAAAAAAAGAGAAAATAAGATTGACAGAGAGATTAGGTTTGGTGACTTTTCCAAGAGTATTTGAAAGAAAGCATGGGCCTTAAATAATGAGATGCCTCTATCACTGTGTTGTACAGCTGGGGATCTTGCATGGAAATTATTTTAGGTGAACGAACTGCAGTCAAGATCAAGCTCCCAGTGTTGAAGACAACCACATCCCAGGCTTGCCTTTCAGTCACTGAAATGGCAGTTGCTGGGTTTGGTGCTTACCTTCAACCAGTGTTTCATGGATTGTCATGTCCTTATAAAACTTGAAATATTTGCCTTTTATATATGGTAACTGCATACATTATTTGTTTTCTCCCAAGATAAACGTTAAAACTGTGTCCTTATTCTCAAAGGAGGTCTTGCATTTTATTCATTCTATGAGCTGATAATGTTGAATGGAAGAATATAATCATCTGTAACTCATGAAGAAGTTAAAGAAGCACAGAACTACTACTATGGACATAAAAAGACATTTTCTTTCTAAACCAGCTATGCAATCTTTCCCATAAAATGCATGAATGCAGCTCTATATTTCTCTTCCCTCTCCAGCTGGAATTCAGCTAGATTTTTTTTTTTTTTTTTTCCAATTCCAGTATTGTTTAGGTACTGGGGCCTGAAGACAATCATATGTGTATTACTGTTCTAACAGTCAATAGAAGGGCTCTGTCACTTACATGGCTTCTGTATCAAAGTCATCACAATTAAAACTTTTGACGCATTCTGTTGTGCGTTGAGAATTTTTGGGCTAAGCACATACTAATTTCCTTTCTGGTCATTATTCCACTTACTGTAAAATTAAATCTTTCAAAAGATTAAATGTGTTATTGAAAAAGTTGTTGAAGTAGAGAAATTAATCTCTTTACCATTTCTGTAGGGATGATGATGCTTATCTACCTCGGAACCTCTTACGTATGGTGAGCTTGCAATGTAGCTTGCTCTTCAGATTTACACAGTATGCATCAAGAAGAAATATTTATCTAGCATTATGGTTGTACGTTAAAAGTGTTGATGGATATTTCGGATATTCAGGGTATACAGGACAGACTTGTCTAAGGTAGCATAGTGAAAGTGAAACTTTTAGGTTAATAATAACATTTATTTTAAAAATATTTTTAGAGTGATCATATTTGGTGATGTTTATAGCATTTTAATGCTTCCTTCTACTGCTTTCTGTTTAGATAAAGGAATTAGAGCCTGAATCCCCTTTGATTTATTTACCCAAGTTAAAATTAGCATAAATCAATCCTGATACTTGGGTCTGATTGAGTAAGAAGAGATTCAAGACTCGATCTTTTTCATTTTGAGCATATTGTTAGATGTATTGGTTGATTCAAACAATTTGCAAGACATTGGCATTAAGAGATATTATGTTAAAAGTACTTACTAGTCATTGAAATGTCAGCCCGATAGTTTTCTATTTCTTTCAAGACACACATTTAATCTTGAAATCTTCATGAGATGTGTTTTTCTGTCATGATTAGTACGTATGGTAAAACACCAGGTTGCATGATTCTGGATCAGATTATTCAGACAAAAAGGATCTGGTGCTGATGACATAGGTCAGTTCCCTTTGACATCAGTCTTCTTTTTGTATGTTTTAACATTTCTCTGAGCTAAAATTCTTTCCTTCCTGACACTGTGTGTCATTCCATGATTAGATCATCCTCCCCACCTAAAGGAATACCTTAGTTGCCTTGGAATGTCCTTAGTGTCTTGTTTCCCTGTGTCCTCCCTGACCTGATTGTCACAAAGCAGTTGAAGAGAGACAGTCAGATGTTTAACGGTGGAGTCATCTGTGTGAGCTGAGCAAAAAAGAGAAAAAGAAATCAGGAGCACGCTGTGAAGGAGTACTCCTATCCACAGTTAAAGGAGAATTACTGCAGAATACTGCAGATACAACTGTATGCAGGTGTCCTAATTCCCTTTATGTCTTTGACTTATGTTTATCTCCTGTAACAAGAACCCGGGCAACGCAGTATGTTCCTGACGTTTGAGATATGTACTCTAAATATTTCTGGCACAAAATAATCCTACCTAGTAATGGGTAAGTTGTTATACTACCTAATGGCCAAGGTAAAGGGTAGAGTTCTAAAGAAGCTTTGTATTTGTGGTCTCTTAGTTGGGTGTACCTGGATGTCTTGCCGCTGAAGCTTTTGTTATGGCAAGAGTGTCGAGTGAACAGGAGCGCAGCATGATGCATTGCAAATTTAAATAATGTTATGAGATAAAAAAGCAGCCATATTTCTGCAGTAGCAGAATTGGCAACAATGTTGGAAGAATCTTGCGAATTCACTAACAAGTGTTTCTTCAACCGGGCTTACTTAGTCAAAAGGAACTATCAGGCAATTTAGAAAGAAGCTGAAACAGTAAAAGAGATTAAGATTTAAAACAATTTTGGATTTGGCCTTAAAAGCAAGAGGGCATACATTTCTTACCGCAAAAAAAAGGTCTTAAATATGAATGGACATTTCTATATTTCCCTTCAAAAATGGACAAAGGAAAAGGAAAACTATTACCTAAAGCCTCTATTAAAATAGCTAAGTGTATGTGTTCGCTCTGGTTTATATCTGCTCAAAGCATCTTAGGAACAAAAAGGAGCTAGTGGAAGCAAATAAAACAGTGTCAAAAAGCAAGTAATAACCAAGTTATTTATTAAGACACTTTATCATTGTTTTAAGGGAATACTGTAAGCTGAGGTTTATAACAGCCTGCAGGCCAAAATCTGATCTTCGTTACTTCCATATTAATCTTCAGTAACTCTGCTGACTTCAGTGGAATCAACTCATATGTCTGTAATTGGATCTGTGTTGAGGAAAGCAGTTGGGTTTTTTCAGCAGTTCTTTGTGCTCTCTCGTGCCCTTTTAATGTAATCTTAAAATGCTGAATGTTCTTTTGTTAGTCGATAACCACATGCTCTTCTTTGTCAGCAGACTCACTGTTGGAATCTCTTGCAATTTCTCGCAATCGGACAGAAACAGTCTCCGTTCCTTTTTCCCCCAGGGCTAATTTTTGCTTCCTCCTATGTGTAGAGGCACTTCTGATGCAACATCACAAGGTGGCACCATAACATCATATCAGGTCATGACTTCATTTAACTGTTTAAATATCCCTAAAATACAAGTTCCTATATAAAAGCTACGATGCCACAAACAAAAATATGAAAACTGTGGTTAATTACTGATTTTAAAACTGTAGATAATTACACAGAAAGTTTCATATTTGATCAAATTCATGAAGTTGAATCTTACAAGGGGCAAAAGTAAATCCTTTCGAGGTAGGTACATGAAAGCTTAAAAATTTTATAGAATAATTTGTGTATATGAGAATTTTTTTCGTGATGTACACACTAATTGGATTGTGACCCAGTATAATGACAATATGCCTTTACAGTATTTTCAACTCTGTCTCAAATGCAGATATTGTAATTTTCCATACAATTATCCATTTCCTTTTGTGTGACGTTGGTCTCTAATATCTGATATTGATCAGAGTAATGGCTTAATTTTTTTCCCTTTCATAAGTTAATGTGCTTTTAATTCCATCTGTTCAGTTCTGCCGTCTTCCAGTATCATTGGATATTCTTTTTCTTTTTTTCATTTTGAAATAGGAGCATCTCAGGGTTTTGTTTGTAAAAATCATTATTTCATATCATCTGTCGTGTTCTCTGGAAATAGGATGGCCACAGCTCTTGCAGGTAATAGCAAACCGTTGATTTAGAGAAAGTTTTCTGTATTTTTTGTTTTATCCTTTATAAGTTATGCTAGCTTGTTTGCCTTAGAACAGTGTTGAACACGAAGTTGACATCTTTATAGATGGTCTGTGGCATTTATGTCTTTTTCTTGGTATGAGAAGACACAAGAATGGATTAATTCAACTTTTATTATTTTAGACGTGCGTTATCTGAGGCATTGAAATTTATTTCCCATAATGTATTCTGTTAACAAATTTTATATTTGATTGCTGTGAAACGTCTCCATCTCAGATGACCCATGTATTTCATTTTCAATGGGACTTAGGCACGTGCGTAACGTTCAACATGTGCCAAATGTACTGTTCTGAGTAGAATTGTTTCTTTGAATTAAGGTCAAACTGAGGTAAGGCACCATGTATGACATTATCTCTCTTCTTACTGATACGGAATCTGTTCCAGTGTTTATTGTTTTTTCTATGAAAAAAGCATATTAATAAAACCAGTTTGTATTAAAATCCCTGAAAATTGAAATGTACATTAAAAATCAAACAAATAGGGATTTTGTTGCAGAAACTATAAAAACTCATATTCTCAAGACCTGAATAGATTCAGATTGTATTCTGAAGTAACAGAATATAAAGGAAGCTAGAGACAGAGTTTTTGGTAACAATGCATTTGTGGAATGGGAAATATTACACTTGTCTGCTCAGGATTTATAATAAATCAATTTGGGCTGAAATAATAGCAGGATTAAAAAGAGTTTATAATGTTATTGCCCAATACACCTTAGCTGGGACAGACAGTGGAATGAAATTTGATGAGGAAGACATTACAGATAATAAAATTATAATTGTTTGTGTCCTTAGAAAGATGTGTGTCTGAGACAGAAGTGACGGACATAGTGAACAGATGTTCTGCTTTTTTCTCTGTATCATTTTGCAGTTGCGGGTGTCTTGTAGAGATGCAAATCACAGCAAGCGACTATCAAATTCTCTTTGGTGGGGAAGAGACTGTTCTTGGTAGAATTAAAAGAGCATCTCGTTACAGATGGAAGTACCTTCATTTAACTGGAATTTCTGCCATTCTCCTGTAAAAGACCTTTTACAACCTGAACTCCAAGTGAAATTCCCTACTGCCCTTTTCTTTTGACTGTCTCTCATTTGCAAGACCACCGACAAGCCTTTTGTGCTTGCTGTTGCAATGCAGATTACTCATTCCCTCTGTTCTTTCTCGGTTAAGATTTGCTCAGATCCAAATATTTTTATACATAAACCCATGATTCATCTTATATCTATTTTGCATACGCATGATAAATTTGGCATGTGTGCTG